CAGTCTAGTCATGGATGAACGTCTCCAGCAACATAGACTTACCCTAGAAATAGGCAGTGTGAAGAATGTGAACAAGAACCAAGTTGCTGAAAAGGCCATACAAGAATTAGAGGACGAGCTTGTGCGCCAAGACCCTGTACGCCAAGACCCTGTACGGGGCCCCACTACACCAACAGCTCTTGCCATTGCTGTCGCCCGCCTAAACACACGCATTCGTTCACGAGGCCTGTCTTCTCGAGAGATGTGGACCCAGAGAGACCAATTCACAAACTGTCAGTTGCCTCTGTCCGACAAGCAGTTGATCACAAAGCAACATGTTAATCGCCAAACAAACCACGGTCACAGTGAAAAATCCAAGGCTCCTCGGAGTCAACAACCTGTAATTGATCAAATTGAGATTGGCGACCTGGTGTACCTTCTTAACGATCGCAATAAAACATGTGCACGGAATCGTTACCTAGTAGTCACCAAGGATGGCCTTTGGTGCAATGTTCGCAAGTTCGTTGGGACCTAACTGCGGTACACTTCATACAGAGTTAAGCTCTCAGAATGTTTTAAAGTCCCCCTTTGGAACAAGATGTGTGCATGAAGCGAACAGTGAGGACACATCTGACATCGATGATGACCCACCTGAGAAACTTCACCAGACACCGGAGACTCCACACATTCCTCTGGAAATATCTACTCCTCCTCTGCCACCGCTTAAGGATGCCGTGTTTGATGACAATCACCCAACCGACATCAGTTCTGCATCAGATCAATCTGATCCCATATTTAACCCAGGTATACAGTCACCTTCAACTTCAAGGCCATCGCGTCAACGTCAACAACCAAAGCGATTTGATGAATATGTTTTGGACTATTGTGTTTGTTTATTTAATGTTATGTTTGTGAGGGGCAGAATAATCCCCATTTACCAGAAGGCAGTTTACCCTATGATGGTTTACTTACCAATTGATTTCATGGTTAACCAGTAATTGGATCTTTATTACATCATTGTTTACTCTCATCTTGACTGTTTGGGTCAAGAGAACTTATGCCAAGGAGCCAAGTTGTTTTTTACGCCTGTTTCCTTTATTATGGTTTGTTTAGGTAACTTTTATCATAAAGAAAAAAAAGACAGTCACGCCAACGCAGGTTTGCTTGGCATGTATTAATGTAAGCAGAGTTAGCTCCCCTTGGTGGCTCGCCTGTCTTTGGAGGCTCACTCGGGTTTGGCGCTCGTTTCGAGGGTTACCAATAAATGTCATTTAGTGTGTACCTGTATCCTGTCGATGTGTGACAAGTGTATAGTTCCTCCTAACCTAACTGGCGCTTGACATTTAGAATTTGTCTTCATATTCATCTAAATGTGTATTTCGAAAAGACGCTGTGCCCGTGGTGAAACTTAGTCTTTGAAGGATACAAGTATTGTAGCCTGAACAGTCGCACAAGCAGTATCCACTGTAGAGGTATATTAATGAAAAAGACAACATCTGTCCCTGTTAATTCTTATTTGAAATATTGTTTGCACTTCATGTTTCTATGACACAATCCCAATACTTATAACAATAGTGGCATGGTTAAGCTACCAATGTATAAGTACTTTGCATGTATTAAGTGCTATACTTTCCATGCTTACAGGCTTCAGGCAGCATACTTCTGTAGTCATCAAAGTGATTACCTATTTTCTGTTGATCAAAATGGACAAAATTGGCTACTGCGCTGTAACCATGTTAGGGGATGATACTCTTTCCTTTGCCACTGTTAAGAGGTGCGAGCTGAGTTCAAAAGGGGCAGTAAGAGTCTCAAAAATGATTCAAGATCAGGAAGACCTTCAAGAGCCACCACTAAAACGTTGATAAATTACGTAGGATTTTGGCTCAAAACCCGTCACACATCAATACAGTAGGCATCTCTCATGTTCATAACATTCTGAGGAATGAACAAGAAGTGACAAACATTTCAGCACGCTGCCTTCCAAGCATGATCAGGTTCATTATCTTTCGTAAGAACTGACATCCTTTCCAAGCAGTCCCGACTGATTTGGTTGAGTGATTTGTAAGCATAGATCAGTCAGTCAGTCAGTCAGTCAAAGCAGAGGACACATCTAATATCTCTGATCCAACCAAGACGGCAAAGTCTGTACCATCAGCTGGTAAGCTCCATCAATGCAGTCCATCATGGTTAGGCTCAGATGTTTTCGCCCACCTCTCACAAATATATATATACTCAACAACAAAAGTTCCTGTGACACCAATATTTTAGTGTATTTTTCAAACAAGTAAAGTTTGGTTTTCAATATTGTAGTACATATATGGAATCAAGTCAGAAAAACGCAACTGCTACAGAAAGCATGCATTCCATGCAAAAGTTGACTTTTATGCAAGCCCCATGCATTCACTACCCAAGAATGGGTATTAAAACATGTGAGTTAACGGGATTCCATTTGCATTGTTTAGCATCGTGCTGACAACAACCACTCAGAAAAACAACAAAATTACGCAATTATTCAACATTACGAAATGCCACGCCTTTCAGAAAATGAGCGTCTGCGAGCCATTGGTATGCTTGAAGCAGGATCGAGTCAACGTGATGTTGCAAGACAATTTAACGTCCACAGAAACACCATTTATGTTTATGGCAACGTTGGCAACAGACCAATGCACTCAGAGACCATCCTCGGAGTGGCAGGCCACGCATAACCAATAATCGACAAGACAACTGGATTCGAACAACACACCTTACGATTCCAGCAAGCAACAGTGATTGCAAGAAGCATCCCTGGCCTTTGACAAATATCTTCACAAACCATATGTCGTCGCCTCAGATGTGCAGGGATTGTCGCCAGAAGACCCGCCAGACGTCCCATTTCGAAAGGAAACCACTGTCAAGCACAGTGGTGCGGACAGCGTCCATGCTGGACGGCCATGCAGTGGGGACAAGTTCTATTCACTGACGTGTCTCGTTTTCACCTCAGCCATAGCGATGGACGGATTCAAGTGTACCGACGTCGAGGTGAACGTTACGTCAATCATTGTGTCATGGAAGAAGATCGGTTTTGGGGCGGTAGCGTTATGGTGGGGTGGGATTACAGCAAGACAGAGGACCCGTTTGATAGTGGTAAAGGGAAATCTCAGTGGACAGCCAATGGACAGCGCTACCACAACGAGATCATCGGCCCTGTTGTTCTACCATTTTTGCGTCGTCATGGCCCAGGCATTACCTTTCAACATGACAACGCCCAGCCTCATATTGCTCGACTTGTTCAGGATTATCTTCAACAAAACAACATGAATGTCATCCCCTGGCCGGCTTGCTCCCCTGATCTCTCACCAATCAAGCACATGTGGGATGAGATGGATCGGTGCCTTCGACGTCAACCACGTGTTCCACAGACATTCCAGGAACTTCGAAACATGCTTCAGCAGATAAAGACAGATATCCCACAGGACTTTGTGTGACGCCTGGTCCATTCCATGAGACGAAGATGTCACCAGAGGTGGACACACATGCTATTGATTTGTAAATTGACATTTTGGCATGTTCATGGTTTTTTTATGAAATCACACATTTTTTGAAGCCAGTATGGCAAATTAAACCATTTGAACACTTACAGGAGTCTTTTATCTATAGCAAACCGAAATTGTTTGAGATTTAGTACAAAAACATAACTTTGCATTAAATGTCAATGTCACAGAAACTTTTGTTGTTCTGTATATTTAGCATGCTCAAAGCTTTTCTCATTTTTGTATGTACCTGTCACCATTGTGTTGGTGGTTGGTTGTCTCCCCTTGACCTTGGTTGTGACTTACATTTCTACTGGAGAGAATCCACAGACTTTTTCGAGCTGCAATATCAAACGGAATACTTTGAAACTGTCAACATCTTTATTTGTAATGGTCACTACCAAAAATTAATAGATTAAAGGAAATGATAGATGAAAAAAAATGTTCCAACTCAACGTTAACTGTTAACATGTAAACAAGCCAAATGTTTTGTTTCTTCTTGCTTTTTGTGTTTTCAGTCAGCACTATCAAAGCTATCATATCAAAGGTTAAAAGCATTATGGTAGTATCAATACTGTGGATATGGTAGCACCAACTAAATACTCTGGATGTTGTAGCATCAGTACTGTGGATATGGCATCACAAACTGAATACTGTGGATGTGGTAGCATCTATACTGTGGATATGGTAGCATCAGTACTGTGGATATGGTAGCACCAACTGAATACTCTGGATGTTGTAGCATCAATACTGTGGATATGGCATCACAAACTGAATACTGTGGATGTGGTAGCATCAATACTGTGGATATGGTAGCATCAATACTGTGGATATGGTAGCATCAATACTGTGGATATGGTACTGTGGATGCGCTCTCTCTCTCTTTCTCTCTCGCAGCATTTAGTTACAAACCTTCTATTATAGCCACTATCATATAGCTGTAATATTGCTGAGTGCAGCACTTTTCAATTATGGCCAGCATCATATAGCTGTAATATTGCTGAGTGCAGTATTCAGTTACAAACCTATTATAACCACCATCATATAGATGTAATATTGCTGAGCGCAACATTTAGTAACCAACCTTCTATTATAGCTCACTGAGTTCGTAATATATATTTGATGACTCACTACTGCTGTTGTGACACAATGCCAACCTGTCTATCATGGCATATGCATTTAACTCCAAATAGTATGACTTTTTGTCCTGACTTTAAGCACTGCATACAACTTCAGCCTATTCTTTACAAATAATAATGTACTAATAACAATGTTCAGGGAATTGTGTGCAACATAAATATACTCAAAGAAGGCTATATTCTCAGTGCTTGAATCTCATTAAAGTAAAACATTAATTGAAACGAATACCACAACTGATATGCTTCTCTTGGCAAATAGCAACATTACTGTATCTCACATAGCAAAACAACATGATATAAGGAAGCTTCCAACTTAGCTTGAAAACCAATTGACATGTATGGAAATTACTAGGGTTGGTCAAAACAAACAAACTTTTCACAGGGAACATCATATTTATTTTTAAGCCACAGTATGTTGAATGGTTACAATTACAATACTATCAGTAATATTTACTAGAATACACAATGACAACACAACAAAAGAATGCTATTTGCCATATGCTGCCTTCTGTTGGTCCCGCAGTTCAAGGAGTCTCACCATTAGGCTCTCAATCATATCAAATGTAATCAGGGCTGACTGCAACACACTGATTCGCTGCCCCTTAGGCATAGCAGACAGAGACTCTCCTCCCACACATACACTGAAGTCCAGGTCCTCTGGAATAGCCCGTTGGTCTCCCTTAGCTTCCAGGAGGTTGGTGAGCTCAAGTTTATAGTGAGCTGTTGACATGTCCAAGCCCATTCTTAAGGCATCAATAAATTGTGTTTCATATCTCGGGAAGCTGGTCCATATTCCTGTCACGTTCTGATTTGGTTTGTCTCGAATGATAAGGAATCTCAGAAGGTTCAACACAGAGATTATTCTATCAGAATTCTCCAACAGATCAGTTGCCGGACCATCAGGCAGTTTCACCAACAACTTCAAAATCTTGTCAAGAGAGTTTCCAATGAAAAATCTTTTTGGAAGTTCACACTGGAGGTTATCACTGATCTGTTCCTTGAGTATCTGTGTGACAAAGCCTTGGACACCAGAGTGTTCACACGATGCAATAATCATATGAAGGAGCTTGTATTGCCCTTCACTACTGAAACATTTGATGAATACTGGTAAAAGTTGTACACACATCTGTCTCAGTTTCCTTGCAGGACAGTGGATCACGATTGCTAGCACATCAGAGGTCATGGTCATGTAAGCACTGTTATCTAATACATCAGCTGAAAGTGAACCAAGCTTAAGCACATCCAAGAAGCTGTTCAACAAGAGCAACCCTTTGTGAACAATAAGGAATTCCTGTCTCTGAAGACAGAGGGAGATAAAGGGCAGGTTGAACTCCAGAAGAAAGTCCCAGCTGTAAATGGTTGGTAGTCTGTTAAGGCCAAGATGCTCCACATACATCAAGTATGACAAACAAGCTTGGGCAAGCTTAGGGACTGACTTCACATACTTCCAGTTCTCCATCTTGTCATTATCATCTCTCTCAAAAGCACTTCGCTTCTGACCATCAAGACGCCTCTCGTTTTCCTCATTCTCTCTCACCATAGCATCTGTATCTTCTGCTTCCTCCAAATCATCTACACATGCTCCACCACAGCGTGCCAGCTCCAGGTACTTATGAAAGTTTCTTTCCACATGTACAAGAAGATCAAGAGTTCTTTCAGCTAGGCACCTGCTTGTTGTCTTAGCCTTTTCTTCTTTTCTATCATATTCCAAATCTAAGTAGGCCAAAGGGTGCTCCAGGAGAAAAAGAAGATGTTTCTTCAGGGTTAAGACCTGGGGATTATTCTTCCCTGTTCTACATGCCTTGAACAAGGATACTTCTTCTACAAATGGTCTTAAGAAGTTGAGGTAAGCAGAAACCACATCCTCAATTCTGTGGACATTGATATCAGTGTCATGCAGTTGTCGTTCTTCATCTTCAAAATCTGCAAATTGAGGAACTTGTAGAGATTTAACATGAGCCGACAGTGTTTCCAAAGCAATGTCCAAAGAATGAAATCTTTTAGAGGGCAATTTCAGAAGGGTTGCTTGCACTAATTTTAAGAGTGTCCTGTACTTAACATCATCATTGAAACAGTCAGCCTGTTCCAAGAGTGCCAGAATCATCTCTTTGGGGTTACCATTGCGGACAAGATAAGACAAGCATCTTTCACATGCTTCAAAGAAATTAGGATTCTTATCAAGAATATCTTCAGTAACATATTGTGTCAGCTCGGAGGTCAGTTCCCAGAACACACTCTGGTCAGACAACTTGTGTTCAAGGATGTACGTTTTGAGTCCTTTGGCATCTCTGAACTCCACACATTCCCTTATCTGAGTAATTAACAGCTGACCATCTGTGATTCTTTCCATGAGCACAGACTCAACACTTCCATCCATCTCAAGCTGCAGTTTAACAGTAACACTTTGTGTTGCTATCCATAAAAAGTGTCATGTATTCAATTTCTCCATCCACACCATAAATATCACAACATATCTGAAAAGAAAAAAAGAGGCAAAGTTAGATGCTGGCTTTCATCCAAAATACTTCTAAAAGGATTCCATGGAAATAATTACAACTTAGTAAAATCTAAATATTTTTTACATTTGTACACTTATCCTGCATTACTCCTTAATGCATTCACTGCTTACATTACGACAACAAGAAGACAGCACAACGGCAATGGTCTTGGGTGAAGAAATAAAGATGTTGTTGATTTAAAGTCCCACTTTTATACAGACCACCGCGGCTGTCATGTGTCCTTGATGACAAGTATCTGTAAGGTAAAAAACTGTAAAAACATACTTTTGAGGTTTCTGTAGCCAAAGTGGGGAGGCAAGTTTGCGACAGGTCCTTTAACGTAGCAATGCAGAATAAGTATACAAATGTAAAAAAGTTTAGATTTTACCTTTTTTTTTCCTTATCCTGCATTACTCCTTAATGCATCTGTATCGGACAGTTTGGAGGTGGGTAAATCTTCAGAAATACAGAAACCTCAATAATTCACACCATGGAAACATGACACAAGTTGGTCGATAAACCGTGAAGCGGAAAAGTTCATATAACGCCATAACGGTAGGGTTGTTCAAATATCAAACAGATTGAACATAAGAACGAAAGAGTAGTTCCCTATACTTATTCAGTAATAAAGAAAATAATAGTTAGCCAGCTTTTTCTGTACTTACTATGTCATAGAGCCGAGGTCTGACAAAAAAGATTGTCTAATATTCTTCCACTGACTGAAATCTCAGCGATATGCACAGGGCAGTAGACTGGCTCTGTATAGGGCCTGTTCATTATTTGTGTTTGGGGTTGGTAACCTGCTGGGCTACAACCAGAGGGCCAAAACTTTGCACGCTTCGACATCCACTAGCGCCACACCGCGATGATAATGACCAGCGAAAACTGTGTCGAACCTAAATAAACATCCTTCCATGATTGTTCTAATAGAACAGTTGCTGTGTAAAGCCATGGCAGAGGCTAGCGCCCTAATCTCCTGAGGATTATTCGCTTTCGGGGGATACAGTCTGGCGATCTCATAAGCCTGAAGGATGACTGCACGTAAACATAGGGATATACGGTAGTGTTGCAACTAACTTCAGACGTGGACGTTGGAGACCCTGGTATAAATAACCGCTTCCTCGAACCACACCTAGTCTTGGAGCCGCGGATGAAAACTCAAAGTTCACCCTCATCTTTGGCTCCAACAATAGTCGATATTGTTGGGATGGTAAAGGAACTATCGGGTTGGCCTGGTAGTTGATTTTTTGCAATGAAATCCCAGCACAACCCGAGATGTACCGCTCCGTGCGTCCCATGCTCAAAGCGTACCCAGTTGATGTTGATCACATGTAGCTCGCTCACCTGTGCCTCCTGGGCTAAAGCCAAGAAAAATATTGTTTACTTGGTGAGGTCATAAAATGAGGCTGCACAGAGGGGCTCGAGGGGGGGCCAAGCAGGTTGGCGGAACTTAGCCTGATCCTCAAGCCTGAATGAGCGTAGTAGGGCCTGTAGTTCTGGGACCTTAGTCATCTTGCAATTTTCTGGAACAGCCAACACTGAGTTAAGTGCAACCAAATACATAGTAATGGTGCTACCTTTCAAGTGTCTATTGGTATGCAGATGTAGGAGGCAGGGATCCGGAAACGGTCATATGCGCCGGACATGTTCGATTGGGAATCTCATATGTCCGGCTTAAAATATTGCTTACCGGACATTTAAATTTTTCTGTCCGGACATTTTAAAAAACAAACAACGCTACATGGGGTCCAAATAATTGATGAGCGTTATCGTATCTCTTCAGCGAATTCAGGTGAATAAACAGGTATAACAAACTTGGTCAATAAAAGTATGAAATTTGATATAAAACATCACTAGTTATGATGATTTACCATTTAAAATGTATTTCCTGCTCTCCAAGGCATTGTTTTATATGCAGAGATTACTGTGTGTATTTTCTTGTAAACTAAGCCGGAAATAGCATTCAGCTGTGCACACGTTTCCTCCCAATCTACCAGTGATTCAGTTAAAACGTACCCAATGATACAACTTCAAAGAATTTTGATGCAATGGTCGGAAGAAATTGTATCTGAAATCATTTTTTTATCCGGAATAATAAATTCCAATATCGTGCTATTTTAGTATATATATTTTAAAATTATAAGAACCATAAGCATAGCACTTGGTACAGAAGGTATGCAGGATATTTTTTGACGTATGTAACGAATTTGACCAGTCACCGTATGGACTTCCCGCGCAACATGTATTTCGATTATGAAAACGTTATGTTGACATTTAATGGTCCAACTGCCTCAAATATGACTTTTAGCAAGTCATGGTACGGCATTTATGATATGCGTATCCATTCTCTTGCAACAAAAGTTTGTTTCAAGGCATCAATAGCGATAATCTGATCGTGGTTGCTGTAAATAACGTTGAGTTGTGCGATCTACCAATCACTTCGCATACGATTTCGCCGAAATTATTGTAAACATCATTATAATTATTGAATGAAATATTGAATACAATTAATCAAATATATCGCAAACTCTAGTCCAGATAAACAATGAACAATTTTTTTATCACCAGATATTATAATGATAGGATTAAATTGCGTACTTCAGTTGTTGAATGGTATTTCCGGTGTTAGGTGATCGTGGTGATTAGCTGATAATGTTTTCTGAGATGGGGGAAAACATTGTGTCATTTGAAAACTTGAGTTTATTAAAAATGTTAGTAAATTTTGGGAGCTATGCTTTACCTCGCGTTATAACAGAAGCACTCGATAACGAGGGAACACTGTACATAACAACTTTTAATGTGTGTGAAAAATCATACAAAAATACGCTAGGATTTGTGATTACGCAGTAGTAGGGTCTTGATTTTTTGCCTTGCAAAAAGTCTCAAATGATCCCCACTTATCATCGTATAGTCCTCTGGTAGACACTGATTGGATCATGGCTTGCACCTGTGCTACTCGCATCTGAGCGTCTTGTGCCGGCGTCACAGATCTAGCAGAGTTGGATGTCTCAGGTGGCTGGTCCGTAAAATAGTTGGACTTGAAATCAACAATATCTTTATTTCTTCACTGAAGACTATCACCGTTGCACTGTCTTCTTGTTGCCGTAAGGTAAGCAGTAAAAGCATTAAGGAGTAATGCAGGATAAGTAAAAAATTTAGAATATAGATCATGTAGATATTTTAAAGAGACCCACCTAGAAACATTTAAATATTGATGATCATGAAATATATCCAGACAGCTGTAAGATAAAAACCAGCATAACAACTTAATCTCTGGCATGAATGCACTCAACATTTTATTACAAAAACAGTACTTGACATGCTTGAAGAAACCCGACTCTAACAAAAAAACATCAGCTATGAATTGTTCTTTGTTTGTTGCTTAACACCACACTCAGCAATATTCTTGCTATATGACGGTGGTCAGTAAATAATAGAGGCTGGACCAGACAATTGAGTCTGGACCAAACATTCGAATGATTAACATCATGAGCATAGATCTATGCATTTGGGATACAATGACAATATAATTGACATGCATCAACCAAGTCAGCGAGTCTGACCACCCAATTCCGTTAGTCGCCTCTTACATCAAGCATAGTCGCATTTTACAGCAAGCATGGGTTACTAAAGACCTATTCTAACCTGGATTTTCACTGATATGAATTAAAGCAAATAACTCACAATATGTTTCAGGATGGAACCTAATTGTTAAAACCCTAAAATATCATAAATTCCATAATTCAACTGTGCAGCTCTCACACCACTGTGTCACTTCTGACAACATACCCGCCATTGTATACAGTGCCAAACAACAAAATGTTTACAAATGGAATGATCAACAATAATGTGGATGTGGATCAAGAATAACAACATGTTTTTTCGTGCTTATCTATTATCTCTCTGCATAATGATCTGGTAAACTTCAAAGCAGGTCACCTCAGATGAACTCTGATCAATGTTTCACTACCCATTCTAAATGAAGTTTTGAATACACAATGCCATTTAGAAAGTGGTCAAATGTAACTATTGTCATTTTTTTGGATAGCACTTTCTTTGTAAAGTACAGATTCTAGTACTTTTTAGGGTTGAGTCCCATCTGGGTTTCTAACCCACACTCCCCCAGTGGGGCACCTAATCAGCAGCATACAAGGAAAGTGCTATCCCAAACATTACATTTGTTACATTTGACCAATTTCTCAATGGCATTGTGTATTTATAGCTTTTTAAAGGTTTCCTTCCATGGGCGCCATGCCAATTTACATTTTAAACCAACCCAACACAAAGAATTACCAGAATCTGTACTTTACTAAGAATGCGTTATCCCAAACATAACATTTGTAATAAATGAAATTCACATTGGTTCTTGAGCCAATGAATTCTGCTTCCTTTCTTTACCAACTTGATTCAGAAAGCAAGCTCACACAGAACATTAATATTCCCTCGATGGCCATCTTCCCGAGGCAAGAGAGTTAACTGACTTTAAAAGTCCAGTTTCCACCCTTGCCGAACTAGGCTGGAATAACTGGGCTCGATCGTAGGGCCACCAGTGTCTATTAACAGTCATGTCCCTTCTAAGCCTCTCCTATGGACCAATCAGATTCCACCTCTCTGTCACTTGCGTTTGCTTCACACAAAATGGTGACGCCCGGTCAGTTAGATCCGATCGACAATCAAGATCTATATTGTGATAAAACGGGTCTTACATCGCGAAATGCATCAAATCACGTGGGCGCCTTGATTAAAAACATGAAAAGATTTGGAAAATATCTGCTGACAACGAGTTGGTGGTGAACATTCTTTGCAAATCCTGCAATCGACCGAAATCTGTATGACAGTGTACGAACCGGATTTCGATTTCAGTGCGCGATTTTGATTGGACTATGCATAAACTCGTTAGTCCAGCCAAAATGTAACTCCATAATACTAGCCTAGTTCGGCAAGGGTGGAAACTGGACTTTTATGGTCAGTTAACTCATTTGCCTCGGGAAGATGCTTGATGGCAAGGTGCTCAGAAAAAAATGGGCGTACAATATATCCACAATAATATAATGGCACTGATCTTTTTATTTAGATTCAGAGCTGGCCATTTAACCTAGTTTTCAAGATATGGAAATCCTATTGGTGGTTCTGAATAAATCGCTCTATAATGCTAAGAATTTAAAAGCCTCTGCACCTATAAGAAAATCTGAACTGAAGTGACCTCCTTTGGAGGGGTTGACATATATACATGCAGAAATTTATCATAGCCAAATAATGATTTCATTTGAATGAGATTGACATATTGGGTGATATACAGGGTGATCATAGCTTATAATTTTGTTGGCCGTGAATCTATGTCTTATCTAAAAGTCAGAATACGATGAAAATATCACCTTGTCTCAGCTATCGGACAGGGAAGTGAAATTTACAATACATTTACATAGAGTTTTGGTGCAATTTGCTTTTGTGTAATCAGTTTAACTTGAAAAATGAAAACTGGTGATTTCATGTATAAAATACAGATAGTCTAGATGTATGATTCTTACAGGGATTAACTAGGCCTGCTCAGCAGCAAATGTTAGTGCGAATTCCCAAATGGGATTATATACTTCTGAGTTCCTGTTATTGTCATGACTAATGCCACGGCTTTCGAGGAGACTTGTATTGCACTGATATCAGGAACAACAAAGAGGAAGCCTTAATGATTTGCAATAGCTTAAAACTTGCATTTTTTGCATTAGGTCTGATGTGAATTGTTACAATACCTAAACTGTAAAACAAATACCATTTTTAACAAAATAATGGCTTTGTCCCAATTTACCTGCAAAAGGCAGTTAGTTTGGTGTTCTAGATAACTGTACCACTACATATATCAACAACATTTCACAAGGCTACTTGGCTACGCGAAGCATTAATATGAAATCAGTTGGTGACTGACAATATTCACTAATTTACGTTGCCTTTACGTCGATTTTCGGGGGCAGGAATTTATGGTAGTCATGTATCGCAAACGACTTAAATATCTTGTTGATAACACTCACCAATGCGTGAATAACTGTCGAGTTTCCGAAAAAAAGGAACGCACGCCATTCTGACTTACGGAAGTACTAAACTGGTTCCTGGGTCCTCCACTTTGTAAAGCTGGTTCCCGGCTCCCTATGCGCGTCGTAAACTTGCGCCAAGCTAGGAGCTGGTATAAAGCTGGGCCCCCACTAGACTGGTTCCCGGATCCTCCGCTTGGTGTCGCTGCACTTGTTCCGCTTTCCAATCTGTAAGCTGGGCCCCGTCTCCAATATCACAATATAGGAGCCGGCACAGGCCAATGAGACGATGGCTGTGAGCGCCTTCGAAATATTAAACATACACTATGTTTTGTAATTTTTCATTGGTCGCTATTTTTAGACGACGCACTACCCTTCTTCAAAAGCCTCCACTGACAACCGTCGCTTTCAAACAACAAACTAAATAACTTAACCATCCTTCTCGCATACATGCTAAGGGAAATAAATCCAAACGCTAGCACTAAAGCTTTCTACACCGTAGCAAATAAACTTAAACTGACAACCCTTACCTACGAATTCTTCAGCATCGGCCTTACATCATTAAGCCCTACCTCAACCAAGTAAAAACCCCAAACCTAAATCAAACCTAACCTCCAACCACTAAAAGCCCAAATAATGGAAGGCCTAAACATATTTCAGTGGATGCCAACGGACTTAATTCCCACGGCCACGAACTAAAAGCTAAATTTAAACAAGATAAGGGTCCGCACATTGCCTGCATCCAAGAAACCAAATTCTCAAAAAAATCTAAATTTACTCTGCCAAACTACAACTCAGTTAGAACAGACCGAGCCAAACCGCTAGAGCCGCAGGAGGATTAATAATACTAATTAGAGAAGACATTAACTACGAAGAAATCAAAATAAACACACCAAACCTAGAAGCAAACGGCATCCAAATAAGTCTCAAAAACCAAAAAATAAACATCATAAACATATACCACTGGGCAGAACAAAGAATTCATGCTGAGGACCTAAACAAATTACTCCAAATAAGCAATAAATCAACTATATTCCTAGGAGACTTTAACGCTCACCACCCTACCTGGAGCATAGATGAAAAATAGATAATCATGGCAAACTAATCTCTGAATGGACAGAAACAAATCACCTTGTACTCCTAAACAATAACCAACCAACTAGATACGATAAGAGTAACCATAAAATGTCGGCTATCGACCTAACCATATGCATCCCAGATCTGGCCCAAAGTACACAATGGGAAGTTCACGACGCCCCACTAGGTAGTGGCCACTTCCCCATAAACATTACCATAGGCAATACAAACGTTCCTACCCAAACAGCAAACTAGAACCAAAATTCAGCTATAACCAAGCTAACTGGGACAAATTTCAAGAGATCTGCAACCAAGCCAACCTAACCAAACTAGAAAATAAGGACCCAGAAATCTACTGTAAAAACCTAACAGACTACATAATTAACGCAGCCAAAGCATCAATCCCTTATAAAACAAATAAAGTAGGCAAACCCTCGGTACCATGGTGGAACGAGGAAATAGAACAAACTAGACGCAAACGTAAAACAGCCTTCAATAGAGCCAAACGCGACCATAACCATATAACGGTAGCTCACGAACTGAACCACAAGGTCCAAAAACTACACTCTAAATCTATGTGTTCTAATATAGAACACTGGACGCGTCCATACGTTCTGCCACAGAATACGAATGTTCTAATTCGTGCAGCACGTGTTCTATTGCTGAACGCCTGTGATCTGATGTAGAACGCGTGTGTTCTCTCCTGGGAGAAGTCCATGCACATTAGCAGAGTTAATGTGCTGAATGCTGTTAGACAAATTTAAATTCGACCATCATATTTGTGTTTTCGGAATATTTATTTTTGAGAAGAAGAGAGGCTGGTAGATTGGTATGTCAAACAGAAAATGTGTATAAGAAGGGTTATATTTTGAGTTTGATGAATAATAAATAGTTTATAAACATGGCATACTTTGTGTTAATAATAACTCATATGTAGCCTGAATAAATACAACAAGAAACATTACTGAAATACAACTCATTGCTAATACATGGAAATAACTTGCTTGCATTGGGGACATTTACGTGTATCAGAACACTGGCATTCTGATGGCTAATTTTAGCTGGATCTTTAATGGGTGCTCTGGAACATATACGGTCTATTTGCTGAGCGCCTGCGTTCTCTCCTAGAACGCGTGTGTTCTGCTGTGTTCTATAATGTTATATGCGAGAACACGTGTTCCATTAATAGAACATCGGTGTTCTGTTTTTCTAACAAGCATTCAAAGCTGTCCATGCTCTGTGATTCACATCCGTTATGTGAGAAACTGGCGTGACGTCGCATGTATTTGGCGCTACAATTTCCTATGATCTGAGGTGTCTGTCGTAAGTATCCATCTAGGAATACTTTTGTTTCATATTTAATACGTACCTAAAATAATGTAATATTTCGGCGATATATTCATATGCTGATCCCAACGAAGTAAAACCGGCCCCTTACAAAACGCATAGCAGACGACATATTACTCGCCATTTTGACCGTCATTTCTGCCATTGTTCCACACGCTTTATTTATAAATTATGAGATGAAATTCCAATCCAAATTGCAAGTGTCACTATTTGAACGTTTCCGTTTATTTGAATGATGTTCAAATAAAATGAATATATATTTCAGGTTCTATATGAATCGCCTGAAAGTGCGAAGCGGGCTACGTGCAACAAATCTCTGAACATCTAAATTTGGGATCCGAGGGCATGATCAGCAAGCATCGACAATGCATCGAAATCAGCAGAGAGTAGTGTAAGTATGTAATGAACAAAAAGAACTAAACCTTCACAGGACATGTTTTTGGCTATTTTATGTGAAATATTTTAGAGAATCAGTCTTGTTGTTTCTATTTCAGGGTGCATTGCAGATAATCAGTACCATCCATGGAAATTATTGCACAGGGCACACGTCTACACAAAGGAGGAAAAGACACAAGGTTTTGCAGATCAAATAAGAAGGTACTTGTGTATATTTTGCTCTAACCTTTATCCAAGTAAGTGGTAACTTTGTTAGTCAAATGACATTTTTGGCAAAACATTTTGCAACCTATAAATAATGAAACAAATGTCACGGTAATCTTGGGTTTACTAACGAACATTTGTTAGAATGTCCTATGTAATATGTACGAGTTTGATAACTATATGACTATGATCAAATAAATGTTTTGTGTTGTAGGATGTTGGGGAGTCATATTTGACATGAAGTTTCCTGAAGCCTGCGATGGTCATGTCGCTGTTACGAACATCGTCCTTTGGGGATATTTACCCACAAGAAACATCTGCGAAGTACATGCGCTTGAAACTTAAGTTATCTTAAGTATGGAAGTATGCTTCAATTTGCTACACAACAGTTTGTAATGTTTCATGAAGAACTCTGACTCATAAGTGACTTGAATATCCATGATCATCCCAAACAAATATAATAAAGAATTCATGGTTGCAGTTCAGAATTTCGTCCGTGTGATTTTATGCCAGAGAATATGCATGGGTGTATGGTTTAAATTCTTACACCTTGAAAAACATCGGGTAAATTGTATTCGACACACACGATGAGTTGTCGTTTCAGTAATGTGGAAGTACGTGTCCGAGAACGTGTAGTGTTCTGAATCTCGGTCCAGAACACTTTACAGGCGTTCTAAAAGCGTTACATCGTCAGAACACGTTGAAGCGTTCTAAATATGTTTGTAGAACACTCCTGTTCTGGGTCGAGAACATCAACGTTCAGAATATTTTCAGAACACATGGACGCGTTCTAAAAGTGTTACATCCATGTGTTCTGTCTAGTGTTCAGAAGTGGAACACTTGGGTTTAGAGTGTAGTCAAAATAGCTAAAACCAGAGATTGGAATTTTTTTTGTGAAGGAGTAAATAACCGCACAGATGCCAGAACAGTCTGGCGAAAAATCCACGCCATTAGAGGCTTAAAACGTCACAAAAAAACACCCAACATAAACAACTCAACCAACCCTACCGAAAAGGCAAATAACCTAGCAAACCACTTCTCGGCCATAAGCAGCAACAATAACTTCAGCGAAAAATTCCAACAAAAACTTAAAGCAGAAGCCAAACCTACCAAAGAACCAAATAATGATAACCACGAAATAAACCAACCTTACTCAATGGAAGAACTCCTGTACGTACTCCAAAATAGGAAAAAGGGAACTGCCCCAGGAATAGACCTAACACCCAACCAAAAAATAACCCCCCCCCCCCCCCCCACACACATACACTACTCCAGGCACTACTTAAATTATATAACCTAATCTATCAAAACGGACAGGTACCAACTCCCTGGAAACAGGCACTTGTCATCCCAATCCCTAAATCCGATAAACCAACTAATCAGGCTAATTCTTATAGACCAATATCCCTAACCTCAAACCTATGTAACGTAATGGAATCTATGGCCAAAAATAGACTACAACACTACTTAACTCAAAATAACATCATAAACCCAGACCAAAGCGGCTTCACTCCTGGCCGCTCAACCTTAGATAATCTCGCCCGACTAGAACAGGACATTAAGACAGGACAACTCAACAAACAATACACAACAGGCATCTTTCTGGACTTCTCCAAAGCATTCGACATGGTTTGGCACAACGGGCTAATACAAAAACTTAAAGAAATAGGACTAAAAGGACAAATAATAAACTACATCCAGGACTTTCTAAACGATCGTAAAATAACAGTGGGTATAGACCATGCACTATCGGACCAGTGTCCCCTAGAAAATGGCACTCCCCAGGGCAGTATCCTCAGCCCCACACTCTTTAATATAATGATAAATGATCTCTTCGAGGGCCTATCCCCTAAAATAAACACATCCAAATTCGCAGATGACGGAGCCCTCTGGATCCGCACTAAAAGTATCAAAATATCCCAAAATCTATTCCAAAAATCCCTAAACAAAATACAGCAACGGGCTGACAAATGGGACTTCTCCCTAAACTCGGAAAAAACAACAGGAATAGTATTCAAACACAAAAACATGAAACCGGCCACCCCTAATCTTCAGCTAATCAACAAACCAATCAAATTCCAAAAACAAACTAAATTCCTAGGCCTAATTTTTCGATCAACATCTCTCATGGGATGCTCACGTAAAATACCAAACTACTAAATGCAGCAAAGACTTAAACACACTAAGATGTCTCATTGGCTCCAACTGGGGGGCCTCTAAAGATACCCTTTTCTCACTAAGATACATTTCACTAATTAGATCTAAACTAGACTAAGGCTTTGCCATCTACGATACTCTAAACCAAACTCTAACCCAAAAACTAGACTCAATACAATATCAGGCTCTTAGATTAGTCACACGTACCCAACATGGCACCTTTCTCACTTCACTCCAGGCCCTTACAGGAGAAATGCCACTAAATCTACGCAGACAACACTTAACCTTAAACTTCTGGGCCGCGTCTCAATCAAACCCCCTCATCCAAAACCTAATAAACCAAAATATCCGACCTCAAAACCAAGCTCTAACTAGGAAACACCCTCTACTTACACCAATATCCCAACGAATAACCAACTACCTAAACGAACACCAAATAAACAACCTAAAACAAAACTGCAAACAATCAAATATATTTACCCCAAAACTCAAAATCCCCAAAATAGACATATCTCTAGCCAACTCAATAAATAAACAAACCGACCCAAACATAGCTAAATCCACTACACTAGCATACATAAACGAAAATTGGCCAAATTGGTGTCACATCTACACAGACGGATCCTCTGATCCGATCTCCAACCACACAGGTTTCGGAGTCCACATCGCACAACCAACTAGAAATACACAATCCTTTCGACTCCCAAACAACCAATCTATCTTTACAGCAGAGCTAATGGGCATAGCCTCAGCCCTCCATAACCAGCAATCTAAAAAACATAAAAAAAATCCTAATACTCACAGACTCACTAAGTGGACTGCAGGCCCTCCAAAATAAAAACACCAAAAACCGCCAAAAACTCATAAACCAAATACTAAAAAGCGCAAACAACTTAACAGAGGCAGGCAAACAAATAGTATTCATCAGGATCCCCGCCCACGTAGGAATATACGGCAACGAAAACGCCGACAAAGCCGCTAAACTATCCCTCAAAATCCCTGAAATAAGCTTAAAGCAACCCATATCCAAATCAGAGATCAAAAGTTTCAACAAACGAAAAATCACCAAAAAATGGCATAACCTCTATCTAAAATCAAATAGCCAAATTAAAAAAGTTCTCAAAAACCCTTAACCAAACCAAAAACCCTTCATCCATCCCAAAAATCGATAGAATAATCACTTAACTCCAAACAGGACACACCAACCTAAATAGCCACCTCAAAAAAATTAAAAAACACGCAACAGGAAAGTGCCCACACTGCAAACACCTAGAAACCCCAGAGCACGCACTCATACACTGGCCCCACTACCAAACACACCGAGCTACACTACAAACAACCCTCAATCTAGATAAGGCTCTTACTCTAGAAGCAATCCTAAACCCACAAAATAAAATACAAAAATTTAAAGCCTCAGGCGTATACTTAATTAAAACAGACCTAATGAAGCGCATCTAATATCCAACAAACTACCAAACAAACCACATAAACCAACAATCACACCTTAATCAACTCCCTTAGTCCGCCCACTATACCCCCTTGGCATCTATTCCAAATCTCAAAAATTTCAAATTTTTCTACATAAGCAACCACTAAATTCCCCCACTGGGTTGCCAATTTTCTTTCCCTTTTCGGAAATACACTAAATGGCCCGTGTGCGAAATACGCTAGAGTCGGAAAGCGCACGTAAAATCTCCAATGTAAGTAGGTAAGTAACCGTCGCTTTCACCCTTTTAGCAATACACTAAATGGCCCGGCCAGGCCCGTGTGCGAAATACGCTACAGTCGGAAAGCGCACGTTTAATCTCCTATATCAGTCAGTCAGACGTCGCCGTGTGCGACATACGCTTGCAGTCGGAAAGCGCACGTTAAATCTCCAATATAAGTAAGTAACGTCACAAATGTGTGTAGCGACCAGAACTGGGATAAACACCGTAGAGAATTATGTCTCTGGCATGCAACTATGTGTTTAATTGACAAACATTTAATAAAAGAGCAAAATCATCTGCACTTCTTGTATTTTTTATTTTTACTACGTTCTGCAAAGTGCGCCAATGGCAATGCTACTGACTCGATATCAACCATTTACAGCTAAATATAGCAGCGTATAAAAGTGGTAATGCGGAACTAAAGCGGAATACAATTTCTTCTTTTTATCCATATCGCTCATGAAAAAATGCAATTCCTATAACAATGGTCGTGTTGCTTATTATCTGTAATTAATGCCCATTGCCATGTTTAATTTCTAACCATGATATCACTCCCAAATGTATTATTTAATTGTCTATCATATCATAACCTTTGTGAGGTGGTGACATGTTTAATTTTCTGTAACAGAGTAAATTTTCTGTTAAATAGCTATCTTGGCCACTTCTGAACACAGTGTTTCTCTACAAAATAGCAAAAGCCAAATGAAAATACAATTATTCTCTAATTTATGTATTTTAAAGATGTTATGCCACTCATTGGTGGGGATACAGGCGTAATAATTCAAGTTCCTAGGATGTTTATGTTATGCTATTTTTCAAGAGTTATGAGAGTTGGACATATTTCTTCTCATACACAGTAACACAGCAGGTAAATGTCTAGGAATAAATACTCATGACATTGTACAATAGGCGATGATGTTCACAAAATATATGTGGGAGGGTATGTACATCAATATAATAATATTAATTATTTTGAATATATAACAATGATTACTCGACATGTCAGAGTTGAAAGGGGTACAGTTAAATTTGTACTTTTCAATGGATTTCTAAGCCCCAACACCTCACAGCCCTCTGGCAACTGATGCGTGTATTTTTGTTTGTATTCTCTAGTTCCAAAGTCATTTTTTGTAAATATTACTATCATTATCATGTTAGATTTTAGTGGTAACAATTATTCAAAATCACTCCATTTGATTATTGTGTACATGATGATAAAAAGCAACTATTTTTTTATATTAATAGTGGAGGCGCATGTAACTGCTTCCAGGCATAGCAGATGCAGGATGTGAGAGAGTTTGTGCTTCATCTTAGAAGTCTAACTTAAGAAATATAAGAAACTAATTACGAATAGAAATATTAGAGTTGAAAAAGATTTCCCTTGTTGAAAAATATTTCTTTAATGTTCCTTTGATTCACCCACCACCCTATTCTTTTTCTCATTGTTTTAAAAGAAAATATACAAAATGTAATACCCGGCATGACAAAATCTCACCAAATGACAAATAAGCACCAAAAGTTAACCAAAAAGGGAAGGAAATGATGAGTATTTTCATTTCATGTCTTTCCCATAACGCTATGATTCAATGGAACAGATGCAAAATAGTTATTTCAAGTTCCAAGTTTATGTGCCAATTCATGAACAGAAAATTGTGTGAACATTCAGCTTCATGAAGGGACCATTAATTAGTCAATATAATTTTTTATCTAATGATTTGTCTTTCCTGTAACAGTCTTTCCTGTAACACTAAATTTTGTTACAGCTAAGACAGATTTTGTTATGGTAATGACTTTCTTCACTTAATAAGCTATAAAGTAAGAAAACTATTACTTTCTGTTCTTTTTCAACATTC